GAGGAGGCCTTCCAACCGTGAACACTTGAGGTTCATTATCAAAGAACAATTGTTAAAACATTTATTCCTTTTAAAAATGCTCATACATGGGCTAAGGCAATATATTTATATTTATTTGTAGGCTTAGACCAAATCTAGCCTGAGAACCAGACCAATAAAGCCCAAAAAACAATAAATCTCTTTTTTCCTTCTGGAAATATAACCAAGACTAACATTAAATGAAAAGGTTTAAGAAAATGAGGAAATAGTGTAGCACTCATGTATATCTTCTTGTTTCTCATTATCAAATAATAATCATCAAAATAAGCAAAAAAAAAAAAAAAAAAAGCTGGTTGGGTTGCTATGATGTCTGATTATTTAAAGACTGTGAAAACACTTCAGATGCCTATTTTTATGAAAATGTAAATAAAAACTTTTTTTATTAAAACGTAGTGCTCCTTTATCATTTTTTTTACATTGTTTCTCATCAGAAAGTTCTTACTTGAAAGAAAACGAATTGAAATCTGTCAGGTGTGTGAAAAAGCTTGACCTTAACAATATTAACAATACACTAGTAAATCTGAATTATTACAATTTATTTTCTATTATTTTCCCAACTGACACTGAGACTTTTTTGCCTTAAAAAGTGAGAAAATGACAGAAATATTATAAAATAAAGGCAAATGATGGGCTACCTGTAAAATATACCTGAATACACAAAGTATCATAAGCTTTAAGCCTATTTTCACCACGGTTTTTCAGTGTTGCACTGTTCTATTAAACGCTAATTAGTTTTTTAAAAGACTTTCTGCCTCTGAGGTCTGTGAAGCCATCTCGATCGCCATTCCCCCTCCACAGAGCAGAAGACATGTCAGTCGATACTCTAGGAGTTTGAGGAAAACAAGAGGAAATACAGATGTCAAAAATGATCCACTTGTGATCGTGAGGTGATCATGTAACAGGACCAAATTTGTCTCACATCTAAGTAAAATAAATTCAATGTAAATGTAAGTAAAACGAGTAGGAAATGAATCACACTTCACACAGTCCATCGTTCATCATTAGTCTAAGCCTCTGGGGCCTCGTGGTGAAGCTTTGCTCGCGGACCTGTGAGAGCTCTCAGTGGGTATCGTCTGCGCGGGTTTGGCAACGTTTACCCTCGAAACCTTTTGGATGGCAGCGATTCAGCTGCGACTGAGCTGTTTTTAGAGTGCAACTTAATGGAGAGGGAAAGGGGATCCTGGAGTAAGTAGACAAAGCTGATTAAGTGAGTCTTGGGTTTCTCAACTGGTAAACCGTGACACAGTGAGGGGATTGAAATGCCACAGAGGGTGCATGGAAGTACCCCTGCTGTTAATTTGTGATTTATTTGACTGATACTTTTCCAGGGTGATAAAAAGATCAGCTTCAGATGTTTTTAAAAAAAACATGAAGCTGCAAGGTGAAGCAGTAGGTATCATCACTGTTGCCTGGCAGCAAGAAGGTCCAACGTTCAAATCCTGGCCTTTCTGGATGAAGTTGTCACGTTCTCCTCGTGTCTATGTGGCTTTTCTCTGGGTACTCCAAAAACATGAGGGTTGATTGATACATCCTTGTGAGTGAATTGAGTGCATAACCTTAACTTTATGGTGTCCTTTCTTTTATCCACACATAGTCAAGATTATGCATACAGGAATAAATATTGTCATGCAAGTCCTAGTTATACGACTCCATTTCAAAATGAGATTTGATGCTTTTATTTCTAATAGAAATAAAGATTTCAACCGTCTGACTCAAGCTGTTTCTCTCAGAGGAAAGAGCATTTCTTCAAATGATCAGAACCATCACTAGAAACCACTGCAGATCAAGCTAATCGTGGACTGGAAGACGCTAAATCAGTTAACTAGAAATGAATCCCCACTTCAAAGTCGCCATCTTTACGAAAGCATCAAATTCGCAGGTTTCATCATGTTGGAGGACCTCTTGGTGAGGCTTTTTAAACCTAAGAGCCCAGTGCCAACGTTCAAGCATGGTGGTGGAAGCATCATGCTGTGGGGCTGTTCTGCTACCGTCTGTACTGATCTACTGAATCCAGCAGACAGAGGATTGAAGATACCGTGACTATTTTCTATCTCTTTAACATCATCATCATCACCACCAGCAGCAGCAGAGAAACATTAGGAAACTTTGATAAAGAGTTAAGAAAAATGCTGCTCTTCCTTCCACCATCACTCCCAGTAAGAGTTTTTGTACAGGAGGTTTAAAACTACAGTATTTTCACATTTTTTTAAATCCTGGCCTTGAATTAGGACTTTCTGTTTATAAGGCTTCAAATACGTTTTGTCAGACCTGTGTCTGAAAAAAGGGAGACTTTGCACAGGTTGCCTCCTTCACATGGAGCGATGTCTTTTTATCATGTGCAGGAAAGCAGATCGGGGTTTCCCTTCTGAAACAGAGAGGGCCTTCGCCGATATGAAGATGAAATCATCTTGATGCCGGCACCTGTTGCTGAAAAGCATATTTATGTTGCTTAGCTTCAAGAGGCTTTCACAGATGGTGGCGTCTGAACTGTGACCTGTCGACGGGCAACATGTTTCTCTTCTCTTTCCCCTGGAGGATTCTGTATCTTTCATTTCCTAAAAGGATTTTCAGGTTTTGATTCATCAGCGCAAAGGAAAGTTGTCCGTTCACGAACTTCTAGACGATGTGGTCGGTCGCAGAGTTCTGCACTTATTTCCGTAATATTTTAGGTTCTGTCTGGGGTCATCTGGTTTAATCTTTATTGTGCTAAAGATTTTTCTATTAATTTCTTGATGCAGGTTAATTTGATTGTTATACATTTTGTTCTTCTTTTGCCTTCTAAACTTGATCTCAGAGGTGAATATTTTATATTTTATAAAGTATAACTCCTACAGTAAAGCAACCCAGTCCTGCTTAATTTCCCCGATCAATTTTTTAATTGAATCTAAAAATTTTAGAGAATTGAGCTCTCTGATTTCTGCCGTATTTATAGGAATATTTAGGGGTTCTTTGTAGGATCAACAGGTAATATGGTAAGACCAGGAGGTGTAAGAAGCTTCAAACTGATTGAGAGGGCCACTGAGTTTGTCAGGTGGATCGTGTTGCCATGTGCCGCCGTGAAATGACAGGTGGTGTGAGCCAGTTGGAGGCTCGTCCTCGTGCGAGCTCACACACACACGCACACACACACACACACACACACACACACACACACATCTGGGTGTTACACAAGCCTGTAATTACAACTTCAGGAGGAGGCCGAGTGGAATCGTGCTCACTTGAATACAGCATGGCGGCGGCACACATACGTGCACACTCTCACTTCACTTTACACACCATCATGAGCTGGCAGTTGTTTCATTTTCCACCTCAGGTCAGGTTTAGTTCATGCAAAGTGAGTGCGTGTGTGTGTGTGTGTGTGTGTGTACGTTGTAATCCTGCTCCAGTTTTATTTTTAAAGCGAGCTCAGACAAAGGCCTCTAGTCAGACCGCTCTGAGAACAGGACCTTGGGAACATGACCAGTGGCTGTTGCGTCATAGTGTGTGTGAGTGTGTGACACGGGGAGCAAAAAAAAAGGGGAGAATCTGAGTTTTCTCCCGTAAAGAAGTTGCTTGTTGAAGCTGCAAAGGAGCAAACAAGGAGAAAACGCTCCTAGAGATGGTCTGCCAGACGTGAAAGAGAGCGCATAGCTGCGGAAAAATACATCACAGCTTCTCCTGGCGAAGTGGATATTTGAATGTCAAAAGACGTCATGATTTGATGTCACAGGAAGGATTTTATTTGCTATAGGAGCAAGTGGAAACAATGTTTGCCTGAGCAAAAAAAAACAAAAAAAACAAAACAAAAAAAGAAAACAATAACCACACCCAGAAATATGTTCCCTACACTGAGTTAGTGAGGGGTAGAGAAAATGGAAAGGTAAAGTTAAAGAATGAAGTCCAGACAGGTGGATAAAAGACTGTAAATGCAGAGATTTCGATTAAGTTACTGAAGAACCGACTTAGGAGTCCATACAAATATAAAATTGGTATATGAAAACTAGCTGTTTGGGAAACCTCAGCATGAAAACCACAAAGCCTGAACTCCATGTTCTGATTTAATTTGAAAACTTGATTGGCTCCAAATCATCCAGATTGCTCTCTTCCATTTTGCAGCTTTTGCTGTAAATATTAACATCATCCTAAAGAAAGAACAAACATACAGGTGCATCTCAATAAATTATAATGCAATCCAGGACATTATTTTTTTTTATTTCAGTAAGTGATTCAAAAGGTTTAACTCAGATGCTAAATGCATAACACAAAGGAAATGATAACGGTTTTCAGAAAATCTCCAAAGATTTGAATACAACATGAGAACAGTAAAAAAAAAAAAAAAAAAAAAAAAGCTAAAATATTGTGACCGCTGATAGCTACTGACTCACTCCACTAGGCTGGTAATCCACAAGAAGCCATTGTTAAAGACTGTTGCTGTATACAAGCAAATTAGTGGAAAGTTAAGTGGATGGAAAAACTAGAATATGAAACAACGTGTAGGACTTAGGGATTGCTACGGCATTGAGAGAATTGTAAAGTAAAACCCATTCAGAAGTTTGGGGGGAGATTCACAAGGTGTGAACAACAGTCTGAGTTGATCTTTAAAGAATCGCCACAGGAGATCCAGGACTGATGTTTCTGCTCTTTGATTCCTGTTTGCATTAGTCTGAACATTTTGTAACTAAAACCCACTTTACCTGGGCTGAGGAGACAATTTAAATGCTCTTGTTTTCTAGTTTTCAATAGTTAACCAGAAAGATGAAAATTAATAAGTTATACTTGAACATTCGAAATAAGTTGGTCTGCATGTTGAATCTGGAAAATAAAAAGAGTTTCAATTTTGGAAACCGAATTACTGAGATAAAATCACTGTTTGATGGTATTCAGATTTACACGAATCTGTAATAGTTGTTACTGAATACTGAAACCGCATGATTGTTACCTTAAGTGTTCAGTAATAAGTTTGGTTTTCTTTACGGTTACAGCTGCGTCTATTCTTGCCCGAATGCAGTCTGGATTTGAAGGACATGAATAATAAAAATCTGCTCATGGTAAGAGTTTTTCTTGCAAATATACAATGGATATTTGTACTGAGGGATATAAAAAAAATTGGAGCTTTTAAGTGGAAATTCTGATGAGAGAGGAAAGGAAAGAAGTAGGGTGAGGAAAGCTGAATTTGTAGGGCAAGAAAAAAGGAGCTGCAGGAGGAGACTGAGAGGAGGAGAAAGAAGAGACACAGGATCGCTTCTTCTACATTTGTCTTTTCTCTTGATCTTTGGAAGCTTCCCAGACCTGGAGACACCGGAGTACCTGGGGAAGCCTGGCCTCACTTACATTACATCACACACGCACGCACGCACACACACCCACACACACACAGAGCTAGCGTGTAATCTGTCCCATAGCTCTGTTGCCAACCCCCGTCTTTCCTTTCTTTCTTCCTCCTTTTCTTCTCATCTTTTTTTTTTCCAGCGTTCATGACGCACTCAGGCATAATGAAACTGTTAAGAAAAGTCCGGTCTGGGGCTGAGACCCAGAGCGAGTGGGTGCGGAGGGACGGGGGGTGTAAAGTGACACTATGCCAAAGCACTATTTACAATGCGCCTCTTTAACACACGGCCTATTTATAGCTGCCAAATCTTTTCTCAGCGTCCGCCACACACTGTTGCACCGTCACAAGCGCAGGCATCAAATGGCACCGGTGGACTGGCTCGACGCCACGCTGCCGGAGAGGACACGCCTTATCCTCCAGCATGTTCCTCCGTGAGGCCCGGCCTCGCTGAGCTCCAACCGCCTTCAGCCCTCCACGCTCTGCCATTCAGGATCAGGACGTTCCCCTTTTCTCCATTCACCGAGTGCGCTCAGCGTTCTTCAGTCCTGCTCTCTCATTGGTCCGTTCATCGGATGAAAGGAGAGAAGAAGGGATTTGAGTTTCTGTCATGACTTGTCTCTGTATTAAAAAAAAAACAACAACAAAAAAACAGGAAGAGCAGGTGAGATAAAGACAGGTGATTTTCTCCTGAAACCCACGTGCTGTTGCGTAAAGAGCGACTCTTCAGTGGAGAAGAAGCAAAGAAATATTAACCATTTGAGCGATGTTTTTCAAACAGTGTGTTATTGATTCTGATCGTGATTTTTCATTTTTATTTTTTTTTTATGTCATAAACTGAAATTTCGGGGTCTTGTGCTCATTTTGTTGTCAGACTCTTTTCTAAAATGTAATAGTGGAAATTTTACAGCGTCACTGTTTCCAATGAGGTCACAAAAACAAACCAGATGTGAGCAACAAAAAAATCGCATATGAAAGGACAACGGATGTATTTTTCTTCGTATTTTTCATCAATATTGTTAAAACATAATCAATAGACTAGACCACATGTCTCAAACTCAAGGCCTGAGGGCCAAATCTGGTCCACCATAGCTTTTTGTGTGGCCATCCAGGCTCCAGATGGCCGCATAAAGTTGTTGTGTGTTTAAACGTTTTATCAATCTAATCAGTGGAGTTTTTACCACTTAAAATGATCAGTTTCTCTAGTTCATATTCATTTAGAAACAACATCAGGCTGAATTGTGTTAAAACCTTACATTTAGACCTGGCAGAATGAGAAAATGAAAATGTACTTGAGTTAAAAGGTTCAGAGTTTTTTTTTTTCTTTAAGCACTGCTGCTGGCTGCCTTTTAGGTTTCTGAACCAGAAGATTGCCTGCCCTTTTCTTGCCCTGACCCAAATTTCACTTGCATAAGAACCAATAAACTCATCTACGCAAATAATCACATTTATTAGCCGAAAACACGCACACAAGTGAAAAGAATCCCTTGAATTTTTCTGTATACCAATGAAGACACCACACTTTGCCCAGAGACATGTTTTCATATTGTGGTCTCCTCCAAAACATTTTAGTTTATGCCAGCTTGGGGGCAAAACTTGGTGTCTGATGATCAGAACGTTGGCCATTACAAAATATATTATGTGCTTTGTGAGTGTTTTTTGTTCACAACTTTTGTTCAAAAGACGTTTTTTTCATGATCACCATGGTTTCCCTGCCCTCGCCTGCAGCACATTGCTTCACTGAAACTCTGTCTCTATTGATTTATTTTGACCTATTTTTATGTCAGAACTAGATGATGCAAAATAGATTACTAGATTATTTTATTTGGGTGGATTCTCTGCACTTTTGAAGGAAAGTGAAAATGAATTGTAGTCCTTAGGTTCAACTTGAAAATGGCTTCAAAGTTATTTGCCTCCTTGAGGGATTTTGGCCCAAACTACATGTATTTTCTACCCATGTATTTAGCCATTGTGTATCGGTTTATCTTAGTTCATGCGTGGACAAAGTCGGGTACATTCAAAATAGCAAAAGTATGAAAGTTAATTATTAAATTGTAAATTTTTAGGAGAACATGCAATAGATATCAAATTTTTCAATGACGATTTTATTTTTTTAGCTGCAGAATATATCAAATTGTAGCATTTCAGTACCGATATCTGCATTGTCACTACCCCGAAGGATTGCTTTTATGCAATATATTCATAGCTAAACTTGAGGACTTAAAGAGTGATGAGGATTGGTGTTACAAAAATAAATGTAGCTGAAATGAGAACATGAAGGGGAAAAAGTAAGACAATATAATCCCAATAATCAGCAATAGTATCACAATGACAGGTTGCACAGGCCTGGTCACCACTGCTTTCCTTCAAGATCTTGGCTTTTATAATCTAAATCAATAGCGTCAGATGTTGTGCTTGTCTTGACGATTGTGAACTCACCTCACTTGAAAATATTCTGGTCTATGAAACATTTTTCTACTCCAACATGGCTTAGAGAAATGTAATAATCAGCGCAGCTTGAAAGGTATTAGGTGTCAGCTAAACAGGAATCTGCAAAATATAGCCAAGCAGGCCAAGAAATTATTTTGATAAAAAAAGGGAAATCCCACGCAGAATCATCAAACCAGCTAATAAGCTTATTTATCATAAGTGTAGTTGTCATGAGAAAGGGTATGAATAATTCTAGATATTATCTATCAAAACATGGTCATTTGTGCAGAAAATGCTGACAGTTGATATAATCATTACCTACGAATTAAAATTCTACATGTGAGTGACCAGGACCGAACATCCTGTAGGAAATGTAATTCCGTAGCTCTTTGGCGTTATGTTTTCTGTGACAACAAGGCGGGCTGACAGTCGAGGGGCCGTTAAGCCATAATACAGGTGTGTGCGTTGCGTGTGCGGTTGAACCGCAAAGCTGCTACTGCTCTCAACCCTGAACCGGCGCTGCTTCCCGGGGCTCGACGACACTCGCCAGACGCAACCTGAGCGTTGGTGTCGTATGCGGCGGCGCTGGTGTAAGTTTGCTTGTGTGTTTACTCAACAGGGTGTTAACGTCAGTTGAGTAAATTCATGTTTATCCTCACACGTGTCAGGAGAGAAGCAAGCCAGCATGCCTACACCGCTTTGCTTTGCCACCATCTCTCAATGTCCACAAACACACAGATAGTTAAAGTGTCCTGAGTCAGACCTTGTTGCGCCCCTGTGAGTGAACGTATGTACTAGCTGGCCAGCATAACCACAGCTCAGGGTTTTGGTAGTTTTCCATGCGTGTGGCGCAGGCCAGAGGGGGCGTACAGTTGCTCACTTGCTTTGGCTTTCCATTGTAATATCTATGGTGGGCGGTGTGAGAGCGTCACCACTGCTTCCTGTGCGCAATGCTTTGCACGGTCAATCACACAGACTCAAGAAGATTTTACTGACTGTGAACAACAACAACAACAACAAAAAAAAAAACAAGAGGAGAGCTTCATCACAATACATCCGCTAATAACATGCCGCCCTCTCGGTCGTCCCTTCTCTGTTCCTTGCCGAAGCCTTTTGGGAGGAGGCTTGCGGCCTTTTTCTCAGCTCTCCCCCGGGACTCTGGTCCAGCTGCCCCAGCATTCCCAAACCTCAGCCTGACTTCACTGCCCAGGGCCTGCACACTGACATCATCATCATCCAGACGTCCACGCACAGGAAACTCAGCTCAGCGCACACGCTCCAGAGCGGGGACGTCACCGCTCGAGACGAGTCACACACAGACACGCTGATGCCACTCTGCAGAAGATAAAGTTCCCATGACTTCTGGGCTGCACAACCACTATGGATTTCACTTGGAATCCATAGTGGAAAAAAAAAAAAAAAAAAAAATGCATCTGTGAACATTTATCGGGATAACCGGCCGGCCGAGTCCGATGCTAGCAGTTAGCAAACTGGAAACTAATACCCACGGGAATGCGGTGCTGTAGAAGCAGGAAAAACTACAGAGCTCAGTTTATCACCAGCAGAATGGACTTCTTACTGGTTTTGAGAACAAATTCATATTAAATACCGTATGGGGCTGTGATTTTAGCTTTTGATGGAAATCATTCTTTGTCTCACAGAGTCGTTCATTCTCTGCATTAAACGCAAAGTGTTTCTCCGTCTCCGATGAACGGAGCATCATGTGACGCACCCATAGCACATCAGGAAACGTGCTGAACTGAAAAGCTAATGTGCCGCATGGAAAAATGCTATCCAGCACTTTTTTTTACTGTGCGCTCTGCGCATCTTCGCTTCGACACCTGTGGAGTCTCTCACAGCTCTGTGACACCTGGTTTCAAAAAGCCCCTTCTTCTTCACTTTACTGGAGACGTGTGAACGGACAGCTGGATAGCAACAGAAATGCTATGGTTTCACTGGAAACTGGCCCTGTGTGAATCGGGGCGTCTAATAAGTAAATGGACTTCAGTGTGATTATAAATCCAGCTGTTTCACGTAAGCCCTCAGAGATTTGTGAGAGAACAAAAATGAAAACATGGAGAAATTAACAGTAGGAGTTGGTTATAAAACTACATCCCAAGTTTTAAGCAACTCATGGAGCATTGTTCGATTCATCGTCTGAAAAGCCTGACTCGACTACCAACCTTTTGAGACATGACCATCCGCTTATCCAGAGTCGGGTCGCGGGGTCAGCGGCCTACACGGGGTGACCCAGACTTCCCTCTCCTCAGCCGCCTGGGCTTCTCCTCCGGGGGAATCACTAGGCGTTCCCAGGCCAGATAAGAAACATAGTCCCTCCTGTCTGTCCTGGGGCTTCCTCTGGCGTCCAGGAGACGTCCTGACCAGACGGCACATCAACTGGCTCCTCTTGATGTTTCAAAGCAGGCGCTCTACCCTAACTCTCCCTAACTCAGTGCAGATGCATCACCAAGAGGTGAATTGTAATAAAAGAGTAGAGCCACAGCTCAGGTGGAAGAGTGGCAAGAAGGAAGTCATTGTTAAAACTCACACTGTGGATCAGCATGAACACACTTTCTTCTGGTGGCAGTATCATGCTGTGGGAATGCTTTCTAACAGCATCATCAAATAGGCTGGTTAGGGTTCATGAAAAGATTGATGGATCTAAATACAGGAAGAAAACATGTTAGAGGATGAAATAAGAGTTTCAAGAAATACTCTTGAAACTGGAAAGACCTTCCAACGAGGACAATGACCTTAAACATACAGCCAGAGCTACAATAGAATGATCTAAGAACATTTATGTTTGAATGGCCTAGTCAAATTCAGGCGAAAATGTGTTTCAATCTATGAAATGTAGAAAAAAATTTTTTTATTTTTTTTTGGCAACTCTTATCTTCTTATTTGTTTGTGTGTCGCTGTTTGTGTAGAAACATTGATGACAAGCAAAGCAGCTCGGGAATATTATGTTTAATGCAACTCAAAACGTAAATGGTAATTTCCATTGATCACTATATGATATATTGATGAAATTATTGTAAGTGTATTTTTAATGTAACATTGTTTTTGAGTATTTTGCTTTTAAATTAATGCCGTTTCATTATTATCTGTTTTTTGAATCATCTATTTCCATAATATTATTTTCCGTAATGGCTCATGTTTGTCATATTGTAGCGTGCTGAAACGTACTTTGCAAACTTTAAAATCCTTGTAAACACCAAATAGTTTTTATTATGATAAAAACTATTTGAAGAAGAATTTCCTTTCTGTCTTTTTTGTATGCTGTGACTGAACATGATGTGTTGCAGGAAATGTTGAATAAGTGAAAAACGAGGCCCAAAGTTCAGTCTTGCTTGGCCATCCTTCAAAGTGTGAGACTTACTCACCGCTGCAACCTTACATTATATCACCCAGATCCTCTCACTGTTTACACATTTCCCTTCCACTGTTTTGCCTCCGGCCTTAAAGCCCTGCTAGTCAAGGTGTTACAGGCACGTCGTTGTCTCTCACCGGCTGCCGTCCCTCGAGGTGAACACTCTCCCTTTTCATGTTCACCACCTTCACGAGACAAACTCAACAGAGAACCGGGAGGGGAAAATAATCTGCAGAGGGAAAAAGGTTGGATTCGAGAGATGGAGAGGAAGAATCAAAATAGGGCTGGTTGGCTGAATGATATCAGGCCTGATTGAATCCCAGCATTGATCTCATGAATAATAGAGCTTCGGTCGCCATATGATTATATTAGACATGACATCCAATGACAAGCTATGATTTCAAGCTGTGCACAATCACAAGCGGATACGCTCTCACATGTGTGCATCTCCGTAGATAACCCTGACTAGCCCAATCTAAGATGTCGCACTGAGGGATGTCAAAGTTAAGCATAAACAGTGGAAACCACTGGACTTTAAAAAAAAAAGTCCAGAGGATGAAGATGGTTGGAGCAAAGTTTCTCAATTCAGCCACATTGTGGTTGATATCTGGACATCAGACTGTTGATAAACAATCTATTTCCATTTCTCCCTTTGCTTTGTCGAAACTGGATTGTTGTGGCTTCACTTTCATGCAGTGGTGAAGGCAGCAGATCCAGAATCAGTTCTGGATCCAGTAGATTATCACACTGAACATGTGAGAGAGCTGGATATTTCTATGTCTAGCAGACCAGGGTTTGCATTTCAGCATGAGGAGGTGGAGATGATCTGGTCAGATGTCGAGTCCTCTCACGTCATTGAAGTATTTGTGTTAATTTGAAGTATGTGTGTTAATTTTCTGTCCAGCTCAGAACAGTATGTGTAAACTGGGGCTGCGTCATTACTGGGTATGTTACTTGTTTCCTTCTTTAATATCTTCTTTCTATTCAAGGATCAACTCAACGTTTGTGGATTAAATTTTAAATCTATGAGTTTCACAACTGATCAGATAGTTGTCAGCTAAGTTAATCAGGCAATGAGAGACACCATCAGCTGATTATTGATTAATAAATAGTAATACAGCCACATTCTGTCGATTACTGCTTGAGAATTTACTTGTTCACCCCGAAACACTTGCTTTCCTTTTGTGTGTACTGTAGTGTTGGAAATGTTGGTTTTTCAATTACCTTTGTAATTAAGTCAGTTTAGTCGCAATATGCACGTTTACAGCGAGATGACACTAAATCCTTTACATTAATTATTCCAGTGTTTAATTGGAAGCTTTGTAAAAGTTATTGCTTAGTTTCTGTAGCTCAAAAGTTAAATCAAAGTTGTTTCTTTTTTGAATAAAAATTGCTTACACACAACAGATTCATCAATATGAAAGAGCTTCATGAAATAATAAGAGGTTGTCTGCTAAACAAAGAAAGCTCCAGTGTTTTATTGTATTTTGCAGATTATCAATAATGTATAAAGCAACGGTTAAAGTCCGATTCTCTGGCCAACTTACACACACACACACACACACACACACACACACACACACACACACACACACACACACACACACACACACACACATATGCTTCTTCTGCCATGTTTATTCATGTTTACAGCCTGTCCCTTCTCATCAGCCATTCAGCGTGTCAAATCTATGTGAGAACAATGTGCAAGTCGGCTGTTTTTCTCCCCTAGTCGATTGTATCTTTGTGCTGCTTTCACCTGTTCTTCCTTTCATCCATGTATGCATGCAATCAGCTGATGAGAATTGGGACAAACAGGAGCCCAGAGCAGGTGAACTGGGGGAGCAGGAAAGAGGAAAAATGTCCACAACATGGACTCTTTTTCAAATTTTATTCAAACCGTCTAGGGCAGGATACTGCAGTTTTCATGCACTCAACATTGACACGAATGTCAAAATTGAAATTAGGATTTGTACTAAAAACAACAAAAACACCGCCACAAGTCTTTTTACAAGTTTAAATAATCCTGCTTTGTAATTTACGCTGGATCATCATTGTATCTACAGGTTCAGTGACATGCCCACGCTGAAAGAGTGTGAGTTTTATGGGCAGCTGCCCAGGGCGGCATTAGAAATGAGGGCCGATCTATAATCATCTATAAAAAACAAAAAACATATTAGTGAGCTGTGCCCTGAACACATTTTCTATTGTTTTTATGAATTTACAATCATTTCCCTCTGCTTGCTGCTAGGAATGACAAAGTTGAAATTTGTGCTTTGTGGAGAACTGCATTGCACTTTTTATTTCTTTTATGTCAAATCTGAGAGGATTTTCTGTACTTTGATTGGTTAGGAAGTTGCAGTTTGTATAGTTTATTTAAATTTGGTTGGTTTCTCTCCAGGAACCCAGTATTTGAGCACTGCAAAGGTTTTTAAACTACTGTTTTTGTTGTAATGTATTTTTCAAAGTGGCACTTTCACAATGCTCTTGTGTAAGTCTTGTTTTCTTGGTTTATTTAAATCTTTCCATATATATATATATATATATATATATATATATACATATATATATATATATATATATATATATATAATAGCAGAGATTTTTATGTTATGTATGTTATGTATAACCTATAAATTACTTACGAGCATAGACAGGTAAAAATATTGACATTTAACCGAACGATACTTCCCTGGTCCTCTTTCAGGTTTTGTTGGATTTTTTTCCAACCTCTTTCTAAATTGTTAATTTTCACTCTTTTGTTGCTCTCCACTTTCTGTTTTAGTCACTTTCAATGTCATCTCAATACGTTACACAATAAATAATAATTGGATCAGAAATATGTTGCTATAGCTATTATTGGCAATGCAGAAGAAAGAAATCAGCTTCTATTTTTTTTTATATTTTAGCAGCTAGTTGCATGTTTCTAATATTGAAGTTTTTATTCTTCCTTCTAGAGCTTAAGGGATATCAAAACATCCAGGCTTGCAGCAGGGAATACAGTAGAATCCAAAGCACCAGAGAAAGCAGCAAAGAAACTGGGTAAACAGACAGATTTTTTTTTTCTTTTTTTTTCCTGAAGATCCCAACAAACCCACACCTCACCCTGAAGCTACCTGAAGATGATGGCTTGAGGAAGGGGCCATTATCCATTCATCCTGACATGCCTGGGCTCAAATGTCTGCAAGCCCTGAAGTGGTTATCCTGATTACTGCCAGAGCATTAAGAGTGAACTCCCTACTGGGAGACGCAGCAGGTAGGCACCTGTGAGAGAACGATCAGATAATTATGACAGCTTTCATGTGTAACAGATTTATTCATACAGGTCAAAAGAGCATGGAGGAATCACAAATCCACACAATAAAAAAGCATGGCGTTAGTAGTTTATGTAATCTACTGTGTTGTTCAGGGCAGAACACAATAAATGGAAGTTCTGAGCCTTGCTGACATAGTTTGTGGGAAACTTATGAATAAAATTAGTTTCCAACATAATTTGTCTTCTGTGTGGATTAGCGGCCTACAGGCCCATTAAAAATGGCAGGAACACTTGTAGGACGCAAACAGTTATGAAATCATGAGATTCATCCACAAATAAAAATGTTGGTCATGGTCAAGTCCCAGAGGGTTAGAGTCCCAGTTAAATGACGTTTAACTAAAGTCCTACGGGGTTTAGAGTCCCAGTTGACGGCGTTTCAACTAAAAACCTAGAGGTTGGGGTCCTCGTCAAACAGCGTTTCATCTTTTTTTTTTCAAAAATATTTTTCTCTTTCTTACTGTTTTTTTAATGTCACATGCTGTTTTTTTTATTATGTAAAGCACTTTGAAATGCCTTTCTGCTGAAATGTGCTATACAAATACAATTTGATTGATAGATTGATTGATTGATGGACCGACAACTCAAGTGTTTAGGTTACATAATTCACCATACAGACGGACACCGTACACAGGCAGTAACATGCTTTGACAGACGTGACTGAGTGAAAAAAATCACTTCTTATAGAGTGTGTTGGAAATTATTTAGCTGTAGTATGCAAATCAAAAATCTGGCAGCAGCAGCCGCTGAGGAGGAAGAAGTCATCGGGAAGATCATGAGGCTTTTAGGCTGAGCTAAAATTTATTGGTTCAGCAGTTAGACATAGACAATGATGTCTGATGACTGAATTAGTCATTTATGTACACAGATTGATTGCTTTTAAAAAGTTGCAGTTTTTTTTTTTTTCCAGCAACAACATGTTGTTTGTAAATCACCTAAAGCACCAAAGAGCAGAAGAGCTTTTTTTTTAGGTCAGTAAACCCAAAGGTTTCCAACTTCTGCCAGTGAATATTCATACAGTGGCCTGGTAAATGCAAGATTTTTGAGAGGTAATAAAATGTGATTTTGATTAATTACTTTACAAAGAATCTTTTAAAAAATGTTAAAATGAAATACGACGTGTCTTATTAAGTTATATAAGAATCCAGAGGATTAAACTTATAGTTTATTGAACTCTTTGATTCAATTTCTGGATTCAGTCTTTGTCTGAAGAAATTTCTCACTTTTTCCACTTTGCCCAGTGAAATTCTTCCAACCAATCAGATTGTGAAGACAACTCAATGAGCCCACAGTTTTTCTGATGAATTTTTTGGACTTTGCCTTCCAAGACTTAATTTTTTTCTCTCATGGAATCACATTGTTGTTAATCATTTAGATGTATATTTGGACGCCCCTCTTCACCTTCACGTTTCCCTTGGACAACTGAAGGTTTTCGGACGTTTGTAGATCTCTTTGTATCTTCATTGACTTCATGCAGCCACTCTCATCTTTGTTCAGAAAATTTTCCTGCAAGCACAAGCCACTAAAAAAAACACCGCCTGCAGCCGACAAACCTGCTTGTGTGAATCAGACACAGATGCAGTATAAATACCGTGCATCTTTAGTATGCACACAAGCTTCACACTTGGAAGTATGCCATGTATAGATGGGCCTTTTACAAATCCTGGCTCAGATACATTGTGTTTTACTGCAATAGCAATAAAGATAAACATCGTTTTTAGTTTCCTACCCTGAGGGGAATTGACAAAGTTTGAATAAAACAGGATTTTTATTATTACACAAGAGCCAGGTGATCCCTGGGTACACCGTCTCTCTTACACCCCCCTCACCTCACCTCACCTCACCTCTCTCCTCATTCTCTGGCCTGCAGCGCTGCACAAGGAGTGGAAAATCGACTAAAAATACCCCGCTCATAAACAACTCACAGACACACTCACACCCAGGCCAGGGATCTTTAATATTAGAAAGCACAAGGCTGACACCGGAGATGCTCCGCTCGGTGGGTTTGTCCTCTCCTTAAATTATTCCGGTGACCACGCTGTCCCCAGCGGTCCGACATGATGGGTGAGAGGGGCCGTGTCTGTAAAGAGGGCCGGACACATGCTCATTACATCATGGCCCAGCTGGCGTAGCCTGTGTTTCTGCGGCGGTCACACGGGGCATCACCAGGCCTGACGCAGCCTCATAGGAGAGAAAGTGTGTGAAATGGCAGCAGGGATCAGTTTGTACTGAGACTGGGGATTCACCTCACTGTAACCCCAGCCCCCTCGCTCCCCCCCCAAAAAAAATCTGTTTACACAAAACAACTTAAAAGAACTCAGTTTGATATGCTACAGAGCGGCTTTGCAAATAACTAAGAATATAATTAAACAGTTGGTTTCTGTGTAATGCTGCCTTCTTTTCACAAAGACATACATTTCCTCCTCTGCTCCTTTAAAGTTTTCTCCAGCTCTCATCTGCGTGTTCGCCTGAGCCTCCACATTGTTCCATCCTGTTAAAGCCCTTTCATGCATCACAACAGACCTGTTAATTTTCTTCTGGTTTTCTCCCACCGTCGACCGTCTCTGCTTGTTTCCATCTTCCTGCCGTTATTCGTAACTCTCTCCAAACGACTCAGGTGCCGTGTCTCTCTTCTTCTCTTCTTCTCCTTTTGAAGTGTCTGTGTAATTGACTCCTTTTTCCTTTGTGCTTTTAACTTTGGCAGTTGAGGCTGTATCATAAAGTAATCTCAACTTTCCTTTTCGATTTTTCTTGTCTTGCTATTTTTAGACAATCTATTTCCTCACTTTTACATTATTTCTGTGCATCTTCCCCTGCCTTTTTTCACATTTTGTCACATTACAACCACAAAACTTCAATGCACTATATTGAGATTTTATGTCATAGACCCACATAATGTTGAGAAGGGAGAAAATGTTAGTTTTTTGGGGGGGATGGCTTCATAACTCTGTCACTCCTAAATAAAATCCAGTGGGACCGGTTCCTCATATGGACCTAATCAGTAAATAGAGTCCAAGCAAAAAGCATTAAGAGCTTGTCTTCTTTTTCTGGATCCACAGAAACTTGCAAAGGATAAACTCAAGGAGATGAATACAAGAGAATGACACATTTTCAGAGTTTTGTTTGTAAAACTGTATTATTTTTGAAAACCATTTGCTGTCCACTTCACAGTTCAGCACTAAGTTGTGTTGCTCTTTCATATAGAATCCATATAAAATGTATTTCAGCCTGTAGCAGGACAAAATGTGAAAAAGGTCAAAGAAGATGAACACAGCCAACTGTAAACGTTCACATCTGAACATAAACACATAATTATACTTAATAAATGCACCATAATAAGGCAAGAAAATCAACCCTTTTCCCTTAAAGAAATCAAAAGGCGCTTTTAAATGTTTATAAATATACTTATACATATATAAGGATAGGTGGGTTGCCCCCTCTGGGTTTTGAGTCAATCTCTACTTCTAGAGAAGTCTAAGTGTCTTGGCATCTTGTTCATGAGTGATGATGGAACAGGAGATGGACAGAAGGACCGAGACTTCCACTGCAGTACCGAGTCCGCTGCTCTGGTCGAGAACGAGTCGAGCCAAGTACAAAGCTCTCGATTTACCGGTCCGTCATCCAGGGGAAGCTCAAATTAAGAGCCACTGTTTCTCCGCATCAAGAAGAGTCGGTTGAGGTGGTTCTGGTCAGGATGCCCCCAGGGGAAATCCCTTTGGATGTTTTCCCACTGGGATAAGAGCCCAGGAAGACCCAGAATCCACAGACGGGCCTGTGAGTCCCAGGGAACGCCTTGGGCTTCCCCAGAATGAGCTGGAGGATGGACCTGTTGCCCCCACAGCCAGATTTCATATGTAGGTGGAAGACATTGGAAGGAAGGATGGATATTTCCATGTATTCTCTTCATTTTCTTTAAATCCATGTGGCATTTTTATTTAGCAGCGAGTCAGGGTATGCTGCTACACCTGCAGACTTTTAGGTTTATAAAGAACATAACTGAAATCCTCCTTATGAATCTCTAATGCTTGTTCAAATGCATGTGTGTGAAGCTGTGGAAAATGACTGATTACAATCACTGACAACAGCCGGAAATTGCTTTTTAAAATTGGTGCTAGACATGTCTGTACCCTGAAATGAAACAAGGACTGTTGGGTTGTGGTTTAGCTATTTTACCCTTGGGAAAATTAAATAAACTTTAATATCGTTCAATTGAAAATTAATTTCAGTTTCTTCCATGCTGCGTACACCGAGTGGACGGGGAGCAAATTTAACTTTGGTGATGAGTCTGGGAGAGGAGTTTCTGAATGGAGCAGACTCACGTCGACTCCGACTATTTCTGTCTGACGGAGCAGAGAATCCTCATCCGGAACGGTCTGGAAGCGTCCGGCACACGCTGTACACACATTCACAAATTCTCACTTGGCTGTGACCCACATACAGTTCATATGACAGCAGCCATGTGGCCCGGATCGCAGAATATGGAGTCAGATTACTTTACAGTGAGCAAGTTCTCGCCTCTCAGCAGATCAGACTAAGCTGCTGATGGCTGAGAGGTGAGAGGCTTTTTTTTTTTGTTTTGTGCTGCTTTGGCTTTGAATATATTGATGAAATTTTAAAGGTCATTTTGATTTTGTAAAAGTGGGGGTGGGCTGGTCGACCTTTTGACTTTTAAGCTTCTATTGATACCTTCAAAGCCAAAGCAGCACAAGCAAATAGTTTTGCTGCACAAACCAGCACAAACGTAGTCGAGTCGATTGACACCAATGTTGTCTGATCTGCAGAAGGTGGGAGGGGCTGGTTGACCTTTCATGACCTCTGGAAACATTTCTTAATATCTTTAAGATGATAGCTGGACCAGTGAATTTTTTTGCTGCACCAATCAGCACAAACGTGTCACCAACGTTTGGCACCATTTTTGTCTGATTTGAAGAAGGCGGGCTGGGCCAACGTCACTCAGGTCCAACTAGGTGCTTTGTGACGGACCGAAGAAAGATGTCCCCTCAACAATATGCTGCCTTCCTCATAGGTCGGATTTGCCAAGGTGTTGTTAGGCTTTGACGTTTTCCCCTTTTTCATTCAAATGTAGCCCTCGCCTTTAATATTTTAAGATTTTTCTTTTTTTCTTTCTAACTAGAATTGATCAAAGTAGCTGAAAATCGATGTAAAAACTTTCTGTACATTCATCTTCTGACAGGTCTGTGTGCAGGTTTCTGCTTTTGGGCATCAAGCACGGATCAATTTCAGCCGCATGTCCATCCATTCCATGCTTTACCAACCAGGTGATCTGTTTAAAAAATATATATCGCCGTTTGCACACATGCTAGACATAACTGCATGCAACAGTGGAGATCTGCTCAGCCTTTAAAGGAAACTTTCAAATCTCAAAATGTCTGCATCCGATGTTCTTCTACAGGACTGATATCAGTCCTGTAGGTTTTTTAATGAGAGACAGAGAAACATTGGTTCCCAAGAAACTACTAATAGTTTTATGTTTTACCCTCCGGTGGCAGCCTGAGATGGTAGAGAGCCCAAAAACTGTACTCAGGTAGGAGTAGCACCACTTCAACATATTTTTGCTCAAGCAAAAGTGAAAAATAGTCATATAAGAAATTACTCAAGTAAGAGTAAAAGAAAGTATTTGGTAAAAAAAAGTTGAAGCATTGAGAAACTGATCAAAACCTTAATCATTTAATATAGAAAAAAAATCTATAATCAAATGCAAATATAAAGTTATGTGGAAATTTTGGTGTTGTAAAGACCAGAATTAAATAATTCATATAAATAACATAAATACAAAATAACAAATTCAGATTCAAACTTCTTTTTTTTTCCAAATCAATTTATTTAAATATAAAATTTATGAAACCTTAACAAAAACGGCAGGTGTGTGTGTGTGTGTGTGGAAACAAGCTTGTTCTTCATTCAATCAAGTTACTCACTGCAGGAAGAGTATTTGGAAATTATACTCAAGTAAGAGCAGTGATACTTCATAATAAAAATACTATAGTTAAGGTAAAAAGTACAGCGTAACACTCCAAAAGTAATTTTCCCCCTGAAAATTTACTCAGGTAAATGTTACTGATACACCTGGTCCCAGAGGTGTGACTGGAATGAACGTGTTTCTACGTCAGGAACAATCCTTTGTAAAAGCATGTGGTTTCCTCACAGGATATGGGTTTCTGGTGAAAAGACTCGGAGCGGCGGTGCTTTAAAGAACTGCATCCTCTTTTTATCTCTTCCTCCTCCTGTCTCTCACTCCTCTCCTTTTTTCTTTTTTTCCACAAGCGAAACGTCATCTCAACATGTACGCATTCAGGAGGGTTTATATAGACGAATGTGATTGTTGGTGCGTGACTGGTATTCATTGATCTCTTTAGTCTTTGATGAAGTGGAAAATAATACTTTTATACACAGAAATAAGAGAGCGGGTGATTCTTAGGATCTCTACAAAATAAGCTACAGTGAGGGAAAACTTAATTTTGTTCTTGTTTGCTATGTTATTTTACTTGAATGATTAAAAATTAGAACAATCTCAGTAAGAGACTTTGCCAACTATGATTTATTTAAAAAAAAGACATATTCAGTTGTGCTTTGCCTGCCAACATATGATTTACATTTTATGGGATCTTTTCTTATTATTTTCTCTATAGAAAACTGGAGAAATTTCCCCACATGTGCCTTCCTTCACTCCTTCCTACACCCACCCATCCATTTGTCCAACCTGTCTACAAAGGCCTGTCATGGAAAATTGAGATCCAACACAATCTGCTGTAGGTCAGGCAAAACATTATAACCACAGTTTGTAGAACTGCAGCTCAAACCCTAAGTAAAGATTGACATTTCTTCATTTTCGTGACTGCCTCATGTTGAATCAATCTCTTAACAGAAGAACATAGAAAACCGTTCGACCCTTCATGTAAACACGGCAAGAAAATGCCCTCCACTCAAACTGGCCAAGAATCAGCCAAAAGGCCCGTGGTCGCCCAGGAGGAGCTGCAGAGATCCACAGCTCAGGTGGGAGAATCTGCTGATTAAAATCATAAATTTCCTCCTGCATAAGCACATACTTCACTTTTCATATTTTTATAGCAAAAAAAAAAAAAAAAAAAAAAAAAAAACCCATTCTTCCTTTTCCTTTTTTTTCCCCCATTTGCAACTTTTTTTTGGTTTAAACACAAA